TATATATATATATATATATATGTAACCAAAGATATAATTAAAATGGGTAATTTTCTAAAATTAAGTGCAATTTTTGTGTAATTGTATATATTTTATTCACTGCCTAGTAACTTTAAATCATGTACCAACATTTATCATCAGATTTAATATTTTTCAGTATGCACATTTAATTAGAAAACAGAAAATAAATGTATATAAATATATAAAATATACATTTCTTTTTATTTTCCAAAAGGAATTTGTCTTATTTTAGGCTGCTGTTACAAATTACCATACAGTGAGTGGCTTAAACAATAAACATTTATTTCTCACACTTCTGGAGGCTAAGAAGCCTGATCAAGGTGCCAGCAAATTTAGTGAGTGGCCATCTTCTCATTGCACCTTCACACAATTGAGAGTAGAAAGTGCATTAGCTCTCTGGGGTCTTTTCTTATAAGGTACTAATCTCACTTGAAGGCTCCATTCTCATGACCAAATTACCTCTCAAAGGTACTGTCTCCAAATACCATCACACTAGGGATTAAAGGTTCAACATATGAATTTAGAAAGGACACATTCCATCCATAGCAAAAATCCAAATTCCCTTTTCTAGCACTGCTCTATACATGGGAAAAAAAAATAATTCTGTCTATTCTATCTGGTTAGTTGAATAAATCATCCTAGCTCATTCATTCAGGTTAGAGGACTTTCTAAATCATTTCTTAAAATAGTATTTACTGGTATTTTTTAACACTTGGATTTCCTTGAACTTAGCTAATATCTATAACTTGACATCATTATTTTCAATTATAAATTAGAATATTGATATAGTGCAATATTTAAGACAATTCACAACTCAGAATGCAATCACCAGGGGGCATAATAATAGCCATAATGATGACTACTATAAAAAAGAAAAGAAATACAAGTGTTGACAAGGATGTGAGGAAAAGGGCATCCTAGTGTACTGATTGGGGAACGTCAATTAGTGTAGACACTATGGAAAACAGCATGCAATTCCTCAAAAAATTAAAAATAGAACTACCATATGATCTAGTAATCCCACTTCTGAATGTTTCTCTGAAGAAAACAAAAACACTAACTCAGAAAGACACATGCATCCCATGTTCATTGCAGCACTGTTTATAACAGTCAAGATGTGGAATAAGTGCCAATCAGTGGATGAATGGATAAAGATAATATGGTATATATATTTATGTATTGGAATATTATTCAGGAATAAAAACATAGTAAAATCTTGCACTTTGCAACAACATGGATGGACCTTGAAAGCACTATGCTAAGTGAAATAAGTCAGAGAAAGACAAATACCATATGATCTCTCTTGTTATGTTGAATCTAAAGAAACAAAATAAAGCAAAACAAAAACCCAAGCTCACAGATACAAAGAACAGATTGGTGGTTGCCAGAAATAAGGGGGTAAAGGGGTTGAACAAATAAATGGGTGAAGGAGGCCAATAGGTAAAAAAAAAAAAAAATTAGAATATTGCTATAATGTAATCTTTAAAGCAATTCATAACTCAGAATACAAAGATCAGGGACAATATGATAATAAAGCCAATAGTAATAATAATAATAATAATAATAAGTGTGGTTCTAAGAAATATTTAGTAATTGAAGTGATTAAGCAGATTATAAATTATAAAAACAGCTGTTGGCAGGGAATCTACAATCACTAAAGACAGCATTATAAATGATGGAGGACAATCACGTAGTACTCAGCAAAACTGAATTTGTGTATTCACTCTGACCCAGAGTTCCACTCTTCAGATGCCTTAATGGCCGTACACAGAGAGGTATGTACAAGCATATTCACTGCTTTTATTGAGAAAGAAAAAATCATTATTTGTTGTCAGCTTAGAGTTGGCTTGGCTCTGAGATTTAGGCCATGATGTTTTTCTGATGAAAATAAACATTCTCACCAACATCAGATGGGATCATCCTGTAACTACAATGGAGTAATACAAAAACAAGACCACTTCAAATAATTTTTCAGACAGAAAGCAATAAAAACATTCTTCAAATCACAAAATACCAAACACCTACTTCTCTGGACTGACACAAGTGCCTTGCTTTTTCAATCAATTGCAAATTTAGTCCTATACCATTCCTTCCACCTCCTAGAGAAAGAAAATTGCCAATATAAAGATCATCAACTTTGACTAGAGTAGCAAAGAAATGAAGATTACATATTGTGACAGAGTTCCTAATGACAATGCCCTTTATGAGGCCTATGTCACCTTGTAACAAATTTTGGTCCCCATGGCAAGGTTAGTTAAAATATGTTACTTTTAAATATAAAGCTAACTGGTACAATGTGATTATTACAACAGGAATTGTACCGAGTTTTCAGTGTCATATGTCACATATAAGATTGTGAAGGCTCCTGGGTATACATTTTAAGAGCAAATGATAAGTTACTTCTAGTTATCCACATAAAAATGAGATAACTACACTTGTGTCTCCTATACAACTTGAGGCCTTCTATGCGTGTGTCCTGTGCCACTGCTATTTTACTTTATAGTATCTCTAACATATTAACCTTCCCTTGTCTGGACAAGGAAAAAATTATTTAAGTTGGGGAATTTCAGGCTATCAAACAACTTCTCCCAGATTAGTTTTCTATTGGTATGTAACAAATTATCATAAATTTAGCAATTTAAAGCAACTCAGATTCATTATTTCACAGTTTCCAAGAGTCAGGAGGTAGGTCATCGTTTAGCCAACTCCTTTGTTCAGGGTCTCACAAGGCTGAAATCAAAGCGTTGCTGGGTTATGTTCTCATGTTCTCATCTTGAGTCCAGAATGGTGAAAAATTTATTTCTAAGCTTAGGCAGTTGGCAGAATTCATTTAATCACATCAGTGGGACTAAATACCTGCCTTCTTGATGGTTGTCAACTACAGGCTGCTCTTAGCTTCTAGATATTTCTCTTACCTCCAAAGAGGTCACACATAGTTCCTTGTCATGTATGCTTCCTTAATATGGCCATTTAATCAGGCAAACTGAAGCAAGTCTGCTAGTAAATTGGAATTTCATGTAACATAACATGATTCCTGGAGTCACATCCCATCAACTTTGCCATATTCTCTTGATTAGAGTATTTGACAGGTCCTGTCCACATTTAGGGGGAGAAAAATCACACAAAGGTGTGAATACCAGAAGATTATGATTATGGGAGCGTTCTTAAATCTGTCTTCTATAGCCCAAACTTACCCATGTGCCAAACAGAGCACTACCAAACTGATAAAGTAACTCCCTGCCAGAATTAGGATCCCCCAACTGTAAAAAACAGCCAAAAAAAGTTATGTCAGTATCTGACAAAATGCTATAAGCATCATAAGAGCCACTTAACAAGTATTAACAACTGCAAGTATAACCAACAATACATAAAGATGTATAAGACATTATGTGGAACTTGGAATCAAATATCAAGCAGAGACAGAAGCAGAATCTCAACTTGTGTTGACAGCCACTCGTTCCTTGAAGAGACAATGCACATTATCAACACTGAAGGAAATGTTTGAAATGAGTATTCTTCAATTAAAAAGTAGTTTACTGAACATATATGTTCAAATTATGATGCTCTATTTATCTTAAATACCTAAAATCTATTTAGTTTATGTTCTTGCCAGTGAGATAGTAGGCAAAATACAGAATAGTACAGACTAATGGATTAGAAATATTGCCACCTTACAAACTAACATTTCTTCAGAGCCTTCTTCAGATAAATGAGAGACTTAGCAAGGTAAGTGCCCTCCCCATTTTCATTTCATCCTTGTTAGCTCTAGTTTATGTGATTTATGCATTTGATTGACCAAAGAGCATAAAATTGGGAGCCAAAAGAATTGAGTTCGAGTTCTAGTTTTAACATTTAGTGGTGTAATATGTAGTGAGTGGTATCTCCTGCACAATGTTGGGTATTGTCCATAGTAGTGACTAGTGGCTGTTATTTCAAAATACAGGTTATCTCTATAAAGTAAGAAATGTATGGTATTCACAGTCTTCCCTAGTAAATCACAAAATTGATGTGACAAATTTGATTTAAGGGCCTACAAGTTTAATTTGTTGATGATTATGTCAAAAGACTTACTTTGCAGTAATCCAAAATAAAATAACCAATATGTTAAAAAGTCTTATATTTTATAGTTTAAATTTCTCTCCAGTCTATTATCTTTTCTCTGTTCTTGCTCAGGTTTCCATTGTTTCTAACCTGGAAACATTTTTCAGAGTTTCATAAATAATTTTTTCTTCCACTCTCGTCTCCATCATTCTTTCCAATTACTGCATAATAATTATCATTGAATAATAACTTAACATTTTGTTCTCTTGATTGTACTTCTTCAATGATTCCCCTCAAGTAAAATAAATAAAAACTCTTATCATCATGCACAAGGTTATAATTTAATGTGAAAAAAAGAAACTGTAAAATTCTACTGAATAACATGATAAAATTGAATAATTTGGAAAGATACATCTAATTTTTGATGAAGAGTTTAAATTTTAACTTCATCTCACACACACATTTTGTTTTTTCCTCCCCTTGCTACTTAAAATGCTGCTTCTTTCTGCCTTATTATTTCAACAAACTCTTATGGCCATATCATAATTAAGCTTCACTGTCAGTTTAATGGTCAT